AAGATACGAGTGACTACCAAGATAACACATTAGCATTTGTTTTTAGAAATTACTTTTAAGTTGATTGCTGACTTGTTTCAATGACAAAAAAATCATAAAGGTAAGATTACCTTGAAGCTCTAATGCTTAAGAGTCCAGGCAGGCTCTATTTATTATTTTAATTATTTAAATTTAGGAATCTATTTGAATATATTATTTAAATTCACTATTCTGTTGCCTAGTCACTTACAATCCATATTTTAATGATCTTAACATCTCAGTTTGAAATAGCATCAAATTGTTACAATAGCAGGAACCATCCAACACAAAGCCAGGCAAGTGAATAAAAACCCTGTGCTGTCTCCACTGTCATTTTACTAGGGTCACCACAGCACAGTCTGGGGAGATGCTGAGTTCAAAAGAACTCATGCCCGATGGCTGGTGCCTCTTAGAGGATTCGCCTGAATATCAGTCGTACCAGGGTTTATCAACACAAACCACTGTCCTGCCACGGCCCTGCATGGTCTGTTTAACACTTAAGTGCCGGTACCGCAGGGGTGGGTGGCAGGTGACACAGAAGATAAGTCCATTAAGTACCTTCATTCCTTCAATTAGAAGAACTAGAGAGATGATTTCAATTACATGTGTGAGAATTAGAATTTTCCATTTAGTCTGTGGAGGCACTAGATTATTTTGTTGTTTCCTCCACATACTGCACACTACCTAGGCTTATAGAAAAAACAATTAATAATCAGTAAATTCAAGCACTAATTTATTCCATTCCAGTAGTGCCAGCAAATCACTGAGTACACAGGGATCAGAGCAGAATCGTTGTTGGCCCTTGCGACTGTGCTATTCTACTCCAGATGCTATGGCCAGGCCATCTGCAGGACTGCAGGGCAAGAGAGAAACAGCTAGAAAGGGTGACTTGAAGGACAAGAAGAGCTCAGAGAATCTTGAGGTTAAGAAGGACTCCAACAGCTACCAAGTTTCATCAACCTGCTATGCCTCTCAGACCAGCTTCAGTGCAAGACCAGTCCTCACCACTCTGGTGTCAGACTGCCTCCTTTACAAGATGCCCACCTCCAGCTGAGTGACCCCAGACGAGCCATGTGACCTCTCTGGACCACCGCTTTCTCCTCTGTAAAGTGAAAATAACGGCACCTCCTTCTGGGTTGGTGTGAAGATAAATTCATATAATTCACAGAAAGAGCTTAGCATAGAATCTTGCATAAGGAAGCACTCAAAAGATAGTTACCAAAAGGCCTGGGGAGAAGCATGTACAGGAGGATTAATGAGAAAACAGTGAAGTCTTATGGAGTCTCCCTTCATTTAACGAAAAGTTGAAATGGACGTAATTATGGCACATCCATAGAAAAACATAGTGGAACCATCGAAAAAAATATATATGGCTTTGCACTTACCGTCATGAAAAGATGTCCAACAACAAATGGTTAAGTGAAATACCAAAATGGAATGTTTATATTGAAAGTGGAAGGACCTTAGGCTGAGTTCCCAAAGAAAAACCACACATCAAGGACACAATGCACTATGAATATATTAACAGAAACTATCTATTTACAACTCCACACATACACACTAACTACCCTACCCTCATGATCAGCAAAGGCTTCAGATATTCAAGTTCTCATAAACTACAAAATAATTTTATCTGAAACATTACAAAGAAAATATGGTGAATGAGCAGCAAGAGAAGAGATCAGGCAGGTTTGAAAAAGAAAACAGAACTTCTTGAAATAAATGTTTAAATTTATCTTGCATTTTGTATTTCAATAGCAAATTTGACACAGCTGAATAGCAAATACTGAAAGACATAAAAATTAATCCAGAATGTAGCACAAAGAAACAACAAAATGGGAAATGGGGAGGATATCAATAAATACAGTAAGGAAATGAAAAATCTGACACACATCTATCTCACTAAAAATTGAGGAGGAGAGAATATTTGGAGATGATGGCTTCAGATGGTATATCTCAGAAATACCATCTGAGAATTTCCCTGAACTAATGAAAGATGCGAATCTATAGATGTAGAGAGCACCAGAATTGGTGCCTAGGCACATTTTAATCCACCTGTACAACATTAAGACAAAAATCTTAAAAACAGTCTAAAGAAAAGACAGATGATCCGTAAAGAAACAAGCAGACTGACAATCACTTCTCAACATCAATAGGGAAAGGAGACAACGGAATATTCTCAAAATGCTAAGACAAAACAACTGGCAAACTATACTAGGATATCAAGAATAACTGTCTTTCAAGAAAGAAACAAAACCCACATTTCTAATATAAACCAAAACTGAGTTTATGACCAATGGACCTACACTAAGAAGCTTTCTTCTACAGGATGTACTTATCCCAGAAGAATTCTCTACAATGCACAAAGAAATGATGAGCAAACAAACCAGTAAAAACGAAGGATAATCTCAACAAAGATAACGTTAGTCTGTGAGGTGAAAGCCTTGCTACGGACCCCAATAGTTAAAACCGGAAAGAGACAAGCCTGCTTAACTCATGCTCTAAGTATAACCCACCGTGCTTATTTCTTACCGCACTTTCTTGAGGCACTGAAGATGTTCTGTAGTGACCAGAACATTCCAACTGCCAGACCAGAAGTGTATGCCTAGAAGACCGCACCCCACCAAATCCCCTTCCTTGCCCATGATCATGGGCTGCACGCATACCAACCCCACCCATGACCACGTGCCCCCTGCATGCTCTCTTGCAGGACCCCTCAGAACCTCTCCTGTAAAACTCCAGGGGCGTACCTTGTGGGAGGTCTGTTGTTAAGGCTTGTTGAGCCTGCCACCTCCCCAGGCTGCCAGCACCCAAAATAAATTTCTCCCTTTCTCGTTTCCAAACCCCTCTTGAGTTACTGGCTTCTCTTGCAACAAGTTTATCTGGCAACAGTGTTGGCAAACCCAGCCAGGGCCTGTGTTCTTGATCTGTCCAGCCCCCTTGGGACTACCTGGGTGGAGCAGATGGCCACAGCAGGACGCCAGGACTCTTCGGTTCTTTCCTGAGCTAGCGGCTGAGCTAGATCATTCAGAAACGAAAGTACTGAACTAGCATTAAAATACTGAATAGTAACAGTGTCACTCAAAGGGGATGGTGAGATTTAGAACATTTTAAGGTCCTCATATTTCCTAAAGTAAAGATCTAACATATTGCTTTTAAATGTGCACAGTAAAATTTCAAGGATAACTAGTAAACGAACAGAAATGGAGAACTTCTAAACCAGCAGAAAAAATACTTTAAGTTAAAAGGTACGAAAAGAGGGCACCTGGGTGGCTCAGATGGTTAAGCGTCTGTCTTCGGCTCAGATCATGATCCCAGCGTCCTGGGATCGAGTCCTGCATCGGGCTCCCTGCTCTTTGGGAGCCTGCTTCTCCCTCTGCCTCTCTCTCTCTCTCTGTCTCTCATGAATAAATAAATAAAATCTTTAAAAAAAAAAAAAAGGTACGAAAAGAAAGAAAAAGATGGTAGAAAGAAGGAAACTACATCAGTAATCATAATAAACACAAGTAGGCTAACCTAGACAGACTGTGAGATTGCGGGGGCGGGGAACAACACCTAAAAGATATTAGATATAAGAATTTTAAGTACAGAGATGAAAAAAAGATACACCACACAAACAATAACCCAACCCCCAAACTGGGGGATACAGGGTTATATTAATATCTGTCTTAACAGATTTTATAACAAAACACATTTTTAGGAAGTTCTATCAAGCACAGAAAAATAAACAGACAAAAATTCAAAGTATGACGACTGGCAAAGAAAAAACAAAACTATCATTTTTGGCAGCATTATTTAAAAACTATAAAACGCGGGGGCATGGGTGGCTCAGTCAGTTAAGCAGCCGACTCTTGATTTCGGCTCAGATCATGATCTCAGGGTCCTGGGATGGAGTCCTGCATTGGGCTCGGCGCTCAGCGGGGAGTTTGCTTGAAGATTCTCTCTCCCCTTCTGCCTCTGCCCTCCCCCCCTGCTCCCATGCTCTCTCTCTCTCAAATAAATAAATCTTTAAAAAAATAAATAAAACTCTCCTGAAAATTCAAATAATTAGAAGAAAAACAAAGACCATGGCATTTTGTTTTTGTTTTTTTTT